TCTTGCTACATTTGCAGCTGCCCCCTAATAGCAGGCTTTCCACCCCCAGCCTCCTCCTACCCTACTCCTTCCTTCATCCTTCTTTGGGCTTTTAATCTCTACATACTTGCCTTTTTTATCTTTTTCATCAAATCATAAATATTGCTTTGTTACAATCATGAAGACATTCTGTTGTGCAGTGAGAATAAATGGGCCCGTAGAAACTAATAAATTCAGCTGCTGCAGACAGTGCTGTCACTTCTTAAGGTGTTTGACTCCTTGTACTGGTCTTAGGAAAAGAAGATTCACATTTTAACAAAGTTTTAGGTAGCTTATCTCTTCTCTTTGTTGATTCCTTTAATCATTGTAATTTGTTTTGTGTAAATTCTAGGATTAGACTGGCTAAACACAGAAGAACCTATTTCTGTCTACAAGGATCTCTGCGGGAAAGTGGTCGTCCTTGATTTCTTCACGTACTGCTGTATAAACTGTATTCACCTGTTGCCTGATCTCCACGCATTAGAACACACATACTCTGATAAAGGTATTTGCCTTTTGACTAGTTTCTTATAGACTGTTCTACATAAGTGCTAGAAGAGGATCTGACTTGTTTGCTCAGAGGAAAATGAACATTTTTCTTTTTTCTTTTTTTTTTTTTGGTCCTTTTGAGATAGGATCTCCTTGTAGCCCCAGCTGGCCTGGAACTCACTATGTAGATCAGGCTGGCCTCAAACTCACAGAGGTTCACCTACCTCTGCCTCCCAAGGGCTGGGACTAAAGGCGTGCACAACCACACCCAGCAGAATGAACATTTTTCAAGACAGTAGTGATTCTAGAAGTAATCTCTGATCTGTGAGCTAAGGACTCCTTGTCTCCCTGTGGTGTTTTTGTTTTTGTTTTGTTGTTGTTTTAATATAGATTGTCACTGTGTAACACAGGTTGGCAGGCTGGCCTCAAACTCGAGATCCTCCTGCCTTCTCCCCCAAGTGCCACCCGCATAGCTCTGCCTGATTTCAATGTGCTTTTTCATGAACTGTAAAATTTAGTGACGATGGTTTGTCTAACTAAGAATCATAATTCAGGATTTAGGTGTTTTTATGAGGATAAGAGCATAATTTACTTTTTTCATGATTAGATACTTGGAAAAGTCTTTTGATATGCCAGGCTTAACTAAATGTCTTCTGTGAACAAAAGGAAACATCTGGCCTCAATTTTATATTCTCACTGTGATGTGAAGGTTTAAAGTTCTTAGCAGGAGATGTCATTAGGCTTCTGACATGAGCCACAGTCAGAGATGACAGATACTTTTTTTTGACCTTGCTTCAATACAGAATGATTTATTACAGTTAATGTTTTCCAAAGCACTCTAGGAAATCCTCTTATGGTATTATAGCTTCTGGAGATAGAGAAGATTATACTTAATATTTGCTATAGAAGTATGAAAAATGGTCAAGTTTTTATCTTTTGCTTATTTCTTTCTAAAAACAACATGAGTGTGAATAAAATTGACAAAGTGGTTCCATTTAAGTTTAAATTAATCGAAGCTGTATGCTTAGAGTCTGTTAAAAAGAGAGGGTCACTGGTTTTTGTAAGGGTACAGCTGAGGCTAGACCATGCAGGTTATCCTTCCAGAGTTAGAAAGTAAAATGTATAGAAGCCAGAAAGACTGTGCTGCAAGGGCTCCTTATTAGAAGAGTCCTGCAGGTAGAAGTGAAAATGTTTTCAAGCCTGAGAAGAAATGGATGTAGTTAAATACATGGTAACCATAAAAGCTAGCATTATTGTGACCATGATATGTAACTTGTTTTCTATATGACTTAATTGGCTAACAAATAATAAAAATTAGTCTAAGAGTTTTTGACAGATCTGAGGGGCAAAATAGAAAATTTTCTGATAGTAGTTGGAGAATTCAGTACTCATTCTCAATAATGAGTGCATCATCCAGACAGAAGATATGCAAGGAAATATGGACTTCGGCTAGATCTAATAGGCCTGTGTCGAGCACTCCACTTAACAGCATCAGGGCACACATTCTTTTCAAATGCATATCGATTATTTTCTAGGAAAGACCACATATCAGATCACAGATTTTTCAGTAGATCCTATTTATTTTTATTTTCTGTGTATTAGTGTTTTATTTTCATGTACGTAAGTGCACCATGTGCGTGCAAACCCAAGGAGGCCAGAAGAGTGCATCTGATCCCCTGAAACTGAGTTACAGATGGTTGTTAGCCACCATGTGGGTGCTGGGAACCAAACCTGGGTCCTCTGCAAGCATAGCCGTTGCTCTTAACTGCCGAGCCATCTCTAGCCCCTCAGTAGATTTTAAAAGAGCACTAATATGCCATCTTCTCTGATATCAAGGAAATAAAGTTAGAAGTCTACGAATAAAATCTATTGTCTTTCTTCAGCAAAGCAGCTTTTAAATTCAGATTTTCTGTAGCAACCAATATTGTTTTCACAGAAGCTTATGAAAACTACAGATCCTAAAGAATTTTCAAGTAAAAGATAAAATGCTAAATAGTAATTAGGTGTTCTGATGTTTAAACATTTTAAAAGATGTACCCTGAGGTTATTAATTCATAGTAAGTCAGCACATATTTATATTAAATTGGTAAGTACTCAAGTGCTTTCTCCTTTCTGCATGAGAGTTTTTAATATTATTTAGCTCATTTATGCTACACCTTAGTAGCTTGTTGTTATTATAGTGCTCACATTTAGGACAATGGCTGTTATCTAAGGGAAAAGTATTATTTTATACAAAAACACTTCTTAGGAAAACTTTGCATATTTTAATGTGATTACTAGGTATATTTAATGTGTAACTAAATCAAGCTTTTAAAAGCCTGAGTATTTTGTTACTATTGAGAAAATAGTACTATTCATCCTGTAGTGTATCCTTTTTCCTATTGAACACTTGATTCAAATCTGCAGGAATACACTTCTAACTATAATGAAGTTTAATCTGTAAGCACATTAAAACAATTTCATTTTATGTCATAGTCTGCAAGTCACCATCAATTGATAACATATCAAGGATTGATTGGGGGCTGACGGGCTAGGATTTTGCATTAATTGTACTCGTGGCTATAATTTATTACACTAAAAGAATGCAAAGCAAAAATCAAGAAACAGAAGTGGTACAAAGAGGCTAAATTTAGGGGAGGCCAGATGCAGTGGAGGGACGTTGCTGTCCTAGGATTTTAGATGACCTGGAGGGGAAGCTGGCCATGAATGAGCTGCTGACCACCTCAGACTGTCTCCCTGCTCCCCGACCCTGAAAGGTCGCTACCCTATGAGGCTGCAGCTCCTTGAGGTATGAATGTTGGCATCCGGACATTCCCAGCCCTAGGGTACCATTCCATGTGCAGCAAGAACCTCAAGCTTTCCAGCAACCCTGCCCTGTCCCTAACTCCAGTCCCAGGGGATCTGACAGCCTCATCTGACCTCCACAGGCATTGCATGACACGGGTGCACTTACCTATGTGCAGGTATAACACTCATACACATAAATAAAAATAATAAATAAAATTTAAAAAAAAAGAAAAGTAAAAAACAGGCACTGCTTGTAACCCTTTCTAGGCACATAACCTCTTGTCTTTTTCTTCAGCTTAGAGTTGGTAGGGCACTCCTGAAAGTTCTGGCTGCTGCACTTTTTAGACTAAGTTTAGAACACATCTTTGGGGGGATATGCATCTGTACATGTTTGTACATGTTTCATTTTAGCAGCCCCTCCATCTTTACTGACTTGGTTAATATTTGTAAAACGAAACTAAATGCAAAGGTATAATCATTCCATCCACCCATCCCTTTTACCTGTTTCTGTCTTATGATTTTTATTACATATTTAAAATTTTCCTTTTTTTAAACAAAAAGTGATATACTTTAGGTATTTTTGAAATAGCTGCATAGTATTTCATTGTGTGTACTGCATAATTTGTCCAGCCATTTTCCTATATTTCCACTCTTAGATTGCTTCCAGTACTTTACAGTTACAATTAATAATCTTATGAATAGATATGCTTTTATATGGTGATAGAATATCTTAAGGACAAATTCCTAGAAACGAGATCATAAATACTAAATGCACATGTACCTTTGTTACATATTTCTAAATGCCCCATCCAAGGTTTGTGCTGATCTGCATTTGTGTGTGTATGTATGTGTGTGTGTGTGTGTGTGTGTGTGCGCACACACACGCATGTGTGCTTTCCTCTTTTTTAATACTGCTCCAACAAAATGTTTTGACAAGCTTTTTAATTTATCTAAACAGAATTTCATATTTTTAGTGTGGCAATTTATTGTACATGGGTTTTTTCTATTACACTGGTAATAACTAGTTATTGTTTGGATATGTAAAGACTATTTCCATGTGTTATTTTATATTCTACCTCTCTAAGTCTTTTTTTCTTTTGATTTAGTTTTTAAATTGAGTCTCAGCGATTTTCCTTTTATACTATTATATCATCTGCATATAATTTTTTTTTTCCAGTTCTTATGTCTAGTTGATTTTAGTTGTGTTTGCTAATGCCTTGCTTACACCTCAACCCTTTGTCAAGGGGTAGTAGAGATAGCAGGTATGTTTCCCTTGATCCTTACACTTGTAGTATTTCTTTAGTAAGAGACTGGTTTTAAGACCTAATTACAGGGCTGGAGAGATGGCTCAGCAGTTAAGAGCACTGACTGCTCTTGTAGAGGACCCGGGTTTGATTCCCAGCACCTACATGGTGGCTACGAACCATCCTTAACTCCAGTTCCAGGGGAATCCAAAGCCCTCTTCTGACTTCTGCAGCATTGCATGACACAGATGCACTCACATACATGCAGGCAATACACTCATACACATAAACTAAAAATAAAAAAAGACCTAATTACATTTATTTAGTCAACTAGCAAAGTATGGAATATAAGACTGACTTTATGTAAATAGTAAACACATGTTAAACAAAATGCATCTGTGCTACTTCCAGGTTTGAAAAAGAATGGCAGCTGCCTGTGATAGTTAACATTGCCAACTTTAGGATCTAGAACTATCTAGGAGATAAGCCTCTGGACATGCCTATGAGAGATTATTTAGATTAGAGTAATTGAAATGAGAAGATCCACATTAGCTGTGGTGGCACTGTTCCTTGGACTAGGGTTCTGTACTGAATAAAAAATGTTTCATGCTCTGGGGTCCTGTACTAAATAAGGAGAGAGCTTGCTGAGCACCAGCATCCATTGCCCTCTGCTTCCTGCCTGGATGCATGTGACCAACTAACTGCCTCAAATTCTTGCCACTGTGCCTTCCCTCCTATGATGGACTGTAACCTTCAAACTGTGAGCCAAAATAAACTCCTCCTTCATGTTTCTTGTCAGATATTTCATGGTAGCAACAAGAAAAGTAACATGCCATATAATTTTTTATTGTTTTATTTGCCTCCTACCATAAAATAACAAGAAAAGCAAATAAAACTACATTTTCCCTGCATATCCCAAACTAGGAGACAAAGAATTTCATGGCCCTCACATCACATGTAAATTAAGAACTAAACTGAATTCCAGTTAAAGATCCTATGTAGGTGCTGAGAACAGGGACAGAGGAAGATTAACAGGCTTCATAAGAGAAAGACGAGTAGTTCAGTAGTTCAGTGGTAAAGCACTAACAGAACAACTCCTTTGTTCTTTGAAAGAGAAATTCCAATACAAAGTGCAAGATATTTAGCATACATTTGGACATCATACATATACATCCAGCTCTTAAAATGCTAACGAAGGATACGAGTGGAAGCCCAGAAAAGTGTTGCTTTGGGGAGAAAATCAAATGTACTGGCAAGGTGTGGTTTCACTTGGATATGCCCCTGAGGGGAAAGAAGGAGATAGGAAGGGACAGTTTAGGACCCAGGAGAGAAAAACACATCAGTCCCCTCCATAAATTATAGCCATAAATAAAACTGCACAGAAACAGATCTGTCAGAAGAGGGCGCTCTCAAGCTAGGAACCTTGTTCACAAAATAAAGCAGGTCACATCCATATGAAATGCGTGGAATGTTTGAGAATGTTTGAAAGTTCTCACAAACAGTCACAAAATTGACAGCTATAGCAGTGTTTGTTGATGAAATAAATATCCTCTGTCAGCATTTAGGAATAATGGAAAGCAAATTGAATCAGAAATGTTAAGACTACTAAATAGATAAACAAAGAAAAGAAATCTGTTGTTTTGGACTCGGGAAAGAAACAGAGGAAAAGTTCAAAAATATATTATAAATGAAATATAAATTGTAAGATATCCAGGGAGAATAAATTCATTTAATAATGTAGTAACTCTAAGTAAAGTAGGGGTGGCGGGGGAGGGTTCAGGGAAAACTGGAGAATGAAAATGAGCTAGCTAGCCAAAGAGTGAAATGGTGTAGGGAGAAAATGATGGAATTGGAAGACAAGCAAAGGAGGTCCAACACAAGACTACTTGGAACCCTTAAGGAAATCAAAACAGTTGACCCAAACTAATACCTGAAATTAGAATCAAAGGAAATAGTGAATATGGAAAAAACCATCTTGACTCTACATTTTGAAAAGTCCTACCAGTACCAGGGAAAATTAACTCAGAAAAGTCCAAGAAATATCGTCATGAATCTGTTGAATGTTAAGACTAAAAAAAAAAGTTCTTAAGCACTTGGGACAAATGGATAACTTGCAAAAACATGTAAACTAGACTTGTTGGATCTTTCCCAAATAGCTTACAAAGCAAGGTCACAGCCGAGCAGCATTTGAAGAATCTTAAGGAGTACAAGCCACGGATATTATATCCATTTGCCCCTCAAGCATCAAGCTGTACTAATCAGTGTGAATGTTCGAGAATTCAGAGGATAGTGTGCACATGTGCCATTTCTGGTGACTGTCGTAGAAGGAGAGCTTTTGTCCAGTTCAGGGTGACTGAGAAAACTGTCCACAATTGAAGATTTCATATATATACATATAGAGCTGAGACCAAACCAGCAGCATAGAGGTTTGTGCAGTAGTCATGGTTTGTTCTGAAAAGGAGATCACAAGGAGTAATGAGAAATAAGAGATCTGCTATGGGGTAGGTCTTACATAATTGTGGAGCCTGCTGACCAATCTGCATGAGGCTGTTGCTTCTGTCTAGTGTCTCAGCTTGAAAATGGCAGATCAAGTAGTGGATACAGATGACAGGGAAGAGGAAACAAATTAGAACTCCTGTAGGCTTCCTTATAGTTCATGAGTGGCTAGCAGGTGCCATGTATAGTAGAACTGACACTCGGCTGGAAAAAGTCAGAGAGTGGGGGGCTGCAGGGTGGGGGGCTGCAGTGCTTAGACTCCCTTGTGCTTATGTGCCTGCTGCACCTTTGCCTGCTCCCTTGTTTCAGATGTGTCTCTTAGACAGAGTATGCCCAAATCCTTTTCTTAGAGGAGCCCTTTCCTATTTGTTCATGAGCGTGACATTTAAGTATTATATATATTGTCCTGTCTTTCAATAGAATGTATTTTCTTTGCCATTGAATTTCACTAATTTCTTTTGATACTTAGAAAAGTTTGTTCTTCTCTTATTGGTTATCTTTAACTTTAAAAAATAATGGTTTAATTTATTGATATTTTGTTGTATACTAGGTAGTATGCCAAATTCCTTACACAGATTGCTGTATTAATTCACTTTGACCTAGGAAGTTGTTGATACTTTCCTCTCCTGACAAATGAAAAAGCTGATAAACAGGTTAAATAATTTGGCCATAGTAATAAACCCTCCCGAGTCTGCCCACCACCCAATTCAGTTCTCAAGTGTCTGTTCCTGTCTTCTTTCTTCAGTGATTTCAAGATGTCTTTGGGGTATTTAGTCCTTAGTTTTCAGCAGTTTGCTTATAATGTGTCTAAATATGGCTTTCTTTTAATTTAGTCTTGTGTGGTATGTGCTGACTTTGAATTCTGTAAATTTCTATCTTTAGCCAAATTTTGGAAATTTAGGCATTATTCAAATAGTGTTTTTCCACATTTTCTCCTTGCCTCCTTCTAGGATTTCAGTTACTCCTTAGATTTTCTAAGCTGTTCCAAGGTGTCTAAAGAAGATGTGTGTGTTTTATCCAGTGGACATCCAGTGGATGTGTGTGTTTTTCCTTAGAGTGGATCCTTTCTCCTAAGCTATGAAGGCTCATGGCCTTCTTCCTCTGTCACCTTTTTGCCAGTGAGATCATTCAGTGAATTCTTTCAAATAGGTATTTTCAGCTCTGACATTTTTATTTGGGTTTTTCATATACTTAATCTCAATGTTTCCTATTTTATTCAGTTCATCTGAATTTTTCACCTCATGAAACACAGTTGCGTGGCTGCTTTAAGTGAGTCTTTGCTAATCAAACCTGTTTTGTTTTGGCATTGATGTGCCTTTTTGCTTGATTTTTTTTTTTCTTTGATAGCAAGTCACATTACCCTTTAGCTTGGGATTATGTCCTAGACAGTGGAATTTTGTGGTTTTTGGAATTACGGTTCTGTTTCGGTCCTCATAGATACTTTTAGCTTTATTTAGGCATTCAACCCTCTTAGAACTAACTCTGTCAGTTCTAAGTCCTAATGTTCTTTTTATGTTCTAAGTCCTACCATTCTTTTTATTTTTAAGTATCTATTTTATTTTATAAATATGAGTGTTTTGACTGTGTGTATGTATATGTATCACATGCATGCCGAGTGCCTGTGGAAGCCGGAAGAGGGCATTCAGTCCCTGGAACTGGAGTTACAGACGATTGTGAGCCATCGTGTAGGTGTTGGGAATCGAACCCAGGTCTCTGAAAGAACAGCAAGTGCTCTTAAGCACTGAGCTATAGCTCCAGCCTCACTCCTCATTTTCTATTAGCTCTTTCCTGTTAGCTAGGTAAGCATTTGCTATGCTTTATTGGGTCTGACTCTCCTCATCTATGTATAGTTTTGAGAGTAAGTTGAAGCTCATACTTAGAAATGAGGAATTGCCCTCTCAGCTTGCTTCTGCTGTTTGCCCACGCTCCCCGGTACTCCTGGTTCTTTGGCCAGAATGCAGTGGGGTTTCAGTTGGAATGTTAGCACCCATAGGCTTCAGAATCCTGGTATACCTCAAGACAAAGCTTGAGTGCACGGAAGGTGTGAAACTAGAAACCTGCCTAGTCCTCGTTTTTCTTTTCTCTTATACTAACTTAATGAAATAATATATTAAGTAAAAGAGGCATGTTGCTTTTAGTTTTCAGCAGTTCTACTGTCTGCGAGAAAGTTTTTTCTAAGAGCTGTCTAGTAGGAATTTTTTAAAGACTGGAAATTTTGTGGCAGCATTTTACTATATTCATTCTGTTAATCTGCAGTATATTTAGGTTAGAAATTAAGAGAGCATCAGGATGATGCTCCACAAAACAGCAGCCATTGCCACTCATTTTCACAGGGGGTGATTCTAGGTCAAAAGAGTTGAGTCTGGAGAGATGGCTCAGCAGTTAAGAGCGCTGGCTGTTATTGCAGAGGACCTGGGTTTGCATCCCAGTACCCACATGATGGCTAAAAACCGCCCATAAGGCAAATTCCGGGGGATCTGTTGCCCTCTTTTGTCCTCCAGGGACACTACACAACACAGGTGCACTTAACTCATGCCAGCAATACACTCACACACATAAAACAAACAAAAAACTTAGCAACTTCTTTAGACCAAAAAGAGCACATTTTAAATAGCTTTATCTGAAAGAGTTCTAATCCTGCACACAAATTTGATTATATATGTTTATATGTAGAAATTAGGATTATCGTGAGATTTAAATTTGTCTTTGTATGTACATGTTTAAATACAGTTGAATATACTAAAGTTCTTTTTAATCTATGAACTGTTTATTAATGAGCAAAACCTAATGTATAGATGATGGTACTTCATATTTCATAATACTTAGCATATACTTTTTCCTTTTCAGATGGTCTTCTGATCATTGGTGTTCACTCAGCTAAGTTTCCAAATGAGAAGGTTCTAGACAACATTAAGAGTGCTGTTCTTCGATACAATATCACACACCCTGTGGTTAATGATGCAGATGCCAGCCTTTGGCAAGATCTTGAAATCTCCTGCTGGCCAACACTGGTTATACTTGGACCTCGTGGAAACATGTTGTTTTCCTTGATTGGAGAAGGACACAAAGATAAATTGTTTTCATATACTTCAATAGCTTTGAAGTATTATAAAGATAGGGGACAGATCAGAGATAGTGAGATTAGAGTCAAACTCTATAAAGATTCTCTGCCACCTTCACCATTGCTGTTCCCTGGCAAAGTGACTGTAGACCATGGTACTGATAGACTGGTAATCGCAGATACTGGACACCATAGAATTTTGGTCATTTCGAAGAATGGACAAATTCAACACAGTATTGGAGGTAAATTCTGCTTCTAATCATTCTATGTAATGCATTTTACAGTTTAAAAAATAATTCAAGAAAATATATAAAAATAGCCTGCGTTGACCAAGTTATTTTGTTATTTAATCTATAGTATCTAAATTAACCTCCCCTTACTTTGCAGAACATACTAAACCCTAAAAGCTCCATGTCAAAAGGAGGAAATTATTGTTATATGGCTTTTAAATATATTTGTGTATTTTTTCTTGCTTCTAATAAAAATGTCACATTTATTGTTTATGAAAATGCATGTCAAGATTTTAGATTTATGACATTTTAAATCAAAGTATTATATTTTATTTTACAAAAAATATAACTATATCTTTTCAGGACTAGGACCCAGGACAGCATCCCAGAAACTTGATGTTTAGATTATAAAATAAATAAGCTAGTTGTACATAATTTTCTTTTCTTTGTTTCTTCCTGTACTTTTGGATCCATTCCCTTTGAGTAGAGCAGAGTAGAAGTGTCCTGCAAGCACAGATCATGTTTCTCCACACTGCCTGGCCTTAGTTCAGAACATGCCTCTGCTTTACATTTGCATGATTAACAAAATCCCTTAAGTACATTTTCATTAATCCTGCTTATGTCAACTGAACTGACAGGTAACGGCATATTAGACAAAGGGAAAGGGAATTCCTCTCTTTATAGCTAGTTAGTAATGTGCGCAGCATTTTACACAGTGTAGATAAGTCAACCATCTTGCGCAGTCGCTGCTCTTCATGGTGTACCCAGATACTCCCTTATCTCTTGGATTGTATCTCTTGTTTGTTGTTTCTATTAGAGCATGTGTTGTGTTTTGAGATGCTTGTTTTGGCTACTTGGTATTTTCATTTGTAAGAGGCAGTTAATGAGAATTGTTACTTGAAAAATGTCTTTTGTCACAGCTTGATTTTCAATGATTTTTAAGGGTTTGTGTGTAGGGGGTATATGTACGTTTTCACGTGAGTGTGTATGCGTACACGTGTATATGAACGTGTGTGGAGGCCAAAGGCTGACATCAGGTATCTTCTTTGATTGCTTCTCACCTTTTTTTTTGAAGCAGGGTCTCTCACTTAACCTGGAGCTTATTGATTTGGCTTGGCTGGCTGGCCAGTAAACTGAGAGATTTGCTTGTCTCTGCCCCTCCCTAGCACTGGGGTTACAGACACACACTACCACACCTGGCTTCTATGTGGGTACTGAAGATCCAAACTCAGGTTCCCTCATGCTGGTGTAGCAGCATTTTGCCAACTGAGTCATCTTCCCACCCTGATTTTAATGTTTTTAATATGATATTCAGAATGGTATAGAATAGTCTTTGTTAACAAAGAAACCAGCCACAAGCTATGTTTCTCCAGCATGTTTCTAAGAACACTGCTATCTCTTGACATTTTGATAGTTCATCTTTAACTTGGTTTTTTGAGACAGAATCTCTGCTAGCTCAGGCTGGCCTGGAACTCAGTGTGTCTTGTACATTCACCTTGAATTCACAGGAATCGTCCTGCCTCAGCCTCCTGAGTGCTAAGATTACAAACATGAGCCACCATACCCACCTAAGTTTTTTCCCTTATATTTACTTATTTGTGTGTGTGCGTGCGTGCGTGCGTGCGTGTGTGTGTGTGTGTGTGTGTGTGTGTGTGTATGTGTATGTAGAGGGCTACATGTGTGCCCAGTGCTCACGTAGAGGTCAGAGGACAACTAACAGAAGTTGGTTCTCTTCCACTGTGTGGGTTCTATAGGGCTTGGCAGCAAGCTCCTTTGCCCATAAGGCCATATTGCTGACCCCCCAGCCTTTTTTTTTATTATTATTTATGGGCTGTTGGGCTGCATATGCCATGGTACCTGTGTAGAGGTCAGAGGGCAACTTTGGGGAGTTAGTTCTATCCTTCTACTATATGGGTCCCAGGGATTGAACTCAGGTTATCTATCAGACTTGGTGGCAAGTGCCTTTACCCATTGAGCCATTTCACTAGCGCCCAGCTAAGTTTTTAAAAAGAATTCTTTAATCATATATTTTCAGGAAATACTGTTTGCATGTGATTTAACAAACTTAAATCATCAGACTTTTTAGGTTCTTTGCTCTGCTTACTGCCATGCTCAGGGTTTCCCAGTCTGAGGCGACTGCAGAGCTCTTCTTCCCCCAGCCTTTTTTTTTTTCTGGGAGACTTTTAAAAAAATTTTTTTAATTTTATTAGTCTTATTTTTTATATGTATGAGTGTCTTTCCTGCATGTATATAGGTGCACCCATGTCATGCCATGGCTGTGGCATCAGATCCCCTGGAACTAGTGCTAAAGATGGTTGTTAGCCACCACGTGGGTGCTAGGAATAGAATTCAGGTCTTCTGCAAAAGCACAGGTGCTCTTAACCACTGAGGTGCTCTGCACCCAATTTCTGGGAAATGCTTAACATCATAAATAATAATAGCATTAATAATAATCATGCCAAACCATAAACCTGACTTTATTCTAAGCATATTATCTTATTTTCATTTACATAATGCTGTGGATTTGGTTGTATTATTTTACAGAAGGATAATTAAAGACATAAAGAACTTTTCCAAACTGTCAGCTGGAAAAAGGTGGAGCTAGGGTTTAATGGGATCTTGAACTCAGGGCCTAGGGACTCCATGCTACTGCCTTTCTTCCTAACGTTTGGAACAAGGGACGTCTGGGAGGCAGTCTGTTACTACTGAGTTAGATAGCCTTTCCCCAGACACAGAAATGACGATTGTGTCTTACTGTGTTAGGCTGGCCACCCTTCAAACTGTGTGTTTTGAAGCCTAGGATGCAGTCTGTCAGGCCAGAATGGCTCTGTCTTTCTTGAAGTGTGTGGGGTATCGTGACTATGACAGTGGACAGAAGCAGTGCTGGCATGGGCTTCTCCACTTAGGAAAACAGGGGGAATCTCAGGATGGAGGGCTGTTGGTAGCATTTTTGAGCATGCGTACTATTCTAGGGAAAGAATATATAATTTTCATTTTATTTTCAAAGGAGTATATCTTCCAAAATTGTTTTTTAAAGTCATCCTTTTAGCTGCTAGAAGGTTAAAGTTATTTTTAACTTTCCAGTCTAGGTAACAGGTATTTAAAATGCTTTTAAAATAGTTTCTTCTAATAGCTGCTACTATCAGAAGAATAGTACTGGTAACTGTTAAGCCCTGTAATTACCAAAACCAAACTTAAAGAAAATCGATACTTTGGGAAGCATTTTCTTTTCAGATAGAAATAGCATTTTCAGTTTTAGACAGAAATATCATGTTATTTAATAAATTCCAATATTAAATACAAATTTTTAAATTATTTTTATTTGAAGGATGTTATTTTGAAATCACTTTTTAATGGGAAAAAATTTTGTTGCATGACTGTCTTGTCTTTTAGGACCTAACCCAGGAAGAAAAGATGGAATCTTTTCAGAGTCATCTTTTAACTCTCCACAGGGCGTGGCTATCATGAATAATACCATATATGTGGCAGACACTGAAAACCACCTTATAAGAAAGGTAATTTTCCACTTTAAGTTCTAATACTTCTAATCAGAAAACATGATAGTTATTTGCTACATTGAATATTTAAAGTTAAAAAGTGACACAAATACACTCCATCATCCTTATTCAGCCTTTTTTTTAAGGGTTCTTATATAGTTTTACCCCCGCTCCCCAGTATCTTGTTTTTCTTTTTGCTGGTATATACTTGCCTCAGTCCTTTGTTTGAAAGTCATGTGTCTAATTTCTCCAGAGCTCCTAGTATACAAAATGACCCTGTTTCCAGCTAAATTTTCTTTTTTAAAAAATATTTTATTTATTATTTTTATTTTATGTATATAAGTGTATTGCCTGCATGTAGGTAAGTACACCCATCTTGTGCAATGCCTGCAGAGGACAGAAGAAGCCATCGTATCACCCTGGAACTGGAGTTACGGACAGTCATTAGCTGTTATGTGGGTGCTGGGAGTCAAACCTGGGTCTTCTGCAAGATCAACCAGTGTTCTTAACCGCTAAGCCATCTGTCCAGACCCTCCAGTTAAATTTTCTTAACCTTTAAAAAAAAAAATCCTAGAATGCTTCACCTTGCTTCTTTGGCTAGAAATAGTCTTAAATTTTATTTCACCTCTTTAAAAGCAATGTGTTCTTATTTTTTTAAGTTAATTAATACATAAAGGTTAAGGGTTAGGATGGTAGAGTGCTTACTTAGCAGAGCATTATGATGCTGTGGGTTTGATCCCCAGCATAGCATAAACTGGGAATGGTGGCACATGAGCATTTAAGTTGTGGAAACAGGAAAATCAGAAGTTCAAGGTCATCCTTGGCTGCATTCCAGGTTGAGACCAAGCTAGGTACATAAGACGCTGTCTCAAAAACAAACAACAGCAAAAAAAATCCGTAAAAGTTTCAAAATGTCCTCTGACCATCAGTCTAATGTTATATAAACAAATTTGGACTTCAAAACTATTTTTAGAGAATTTTATAAAACAAATGGAATCATACCATTTATTAAACAGTATCTTACATGTTTTATTTGTTCTGTGTTAGTCATGACTGTCATATTCTGCTGTAGATATACTGAGTTTTTGTTTATATTCCATTGATCATTAAATTGTTGTCAGTTTGGAAAATAGCTCATAAAGCATCTAATCCACTCTATTGGGTGAACATACTGCTTCAGAAACTTCACTGTCACCCAACGTTGACACTTATCCTCATTTACTTGACAAAAGCATCACATAATGTTCGTGTAATAGCAAATACAGGATGTATAATAATATCCACTGCAATGTAAATCTCAATAAAAGCAAAAAATATGTTGACTTTGCACCGAATAGACCTGACCAATTGAAAATGTTCAGTGTTTGATAGATATTTGTTAAATGTGTTTTTGAAAAGATATCTGCTTAATGAAACATTTTATAAATTATAATCTTAAATTTACTATCATAAATATGTATTATGAATTTAGAAACTTTTAGACACACATGCTGACACATTGTTGAGAATGTCAGTGGACACACTTATTTGATCAAGAAGCCCCTTTTTTAGGCAGAACTTCACTAATGTTTCTGTTAACATTTCCATTACAGAAAAATGTTTTTTTTTTTATTACTGCTCCCTTAAAGGTCCATTCGTTTTAGTAATTTTCTTTGGGAAGTTATTTTCAATAATTTTGTCAGACTATTGTGGACATCTGATCATGATTTGCAATATTCTGGAAATATTTATTTTTTGTTAATTGTGCTCCATTCCTCCTGCTTCACAGCTTAGTGGGTTTGGAGGAGTGACCAAAGCACTGTATTTCAAGTGCTCATTTATGTGAGTAGTGTTCACACACACACACACACACACATACACACACACACACACACACACACACACACACATACACGCACACACAGGTTTCCTCAAGTCATTCTATATTGTATGACCTGGTTTAGTTCTGTAAGGATAGGAATTGTGTAATTATTTCTTCCTTTCTTTTCATTATAGTTACTGTAGGTTTTAAGATCTCATTGCAGAGCATTAAGTAGGTGATCCTCCTATCTTTACACACACAAACATCATTGTTTCATGCATGCCCCTCTTTTGACTAGAATAATTTCTTATTAACTTATGAACTCTTTGTAGCCCCACTCCCCACAGGAGCAAATGTGTAGGCAGCCATTTTGAATGCTTGTCCATGTATGACCCTGAAAAACATTGTGGTATATTTTACATATTAGAAAGGTCACCCATTTAAGCTTAAAGTTTTAGTCAATTTAACAGGTTTTGCAGTATAAATTTAAATTTTTTTTAGATAATTTCACCCCCCAATTAAGAATTGTCATAAACAATTAAAGCCCATTCCCAGCTCTAGGCAATCTGCTTTCTGTCTGTTGATAGGCCCTTTTGAACTTTTCATATAAATAGAATTCTATAATATAGTTTCACCTCTTCCATTTTGCTTGGTGTTTTAAAGTCATCCATGAAGTAATCTAATGAAAGGGACTGACTGCGTGCACTTAAGTAACAAGTCTCTATATTAAATTAGGCTTTTAAAACATCGTATTGCAAATACCCTCTATATGTTCTATTGGAATTCTTCAAGTATTGAAAGAAAAAAGTAACATGCATTGCATAAAATACCCACTAAATTTTTGTAGATTGACCTAGAAGCTCAGAAGGTGAGCACTGTGGCGGGCATTGGCGTTCAAGGTACAGATAAGGAAGGAGGAGCACAAGGAGAAGAGCAGCCCATTAGCTCCCCGTGGGATGTTGTTGTTGGAACATCAGGTGTGTAAAGTTCAGTATTGCATGCCAGTAAATTTTGCTTAATAAAAATAAGATTTAAAAATACTTTTTTATTCAGAATATTCTTTAAACATTTATTTGGATTATGTTGTTTGTTGTATACATTTGTGTTTATGGCTTATAAGACAAAGGCAACAGTAAAATATACAGGTAGAATATTTATATATAACATTCCCTTATATTTTATAGAAAAGATGAGGATGGCTGGTTGTCTGGTTCACTCTTGGATCATTGCTGAGTACACACTAAGTTCTAATTGAAAGAATTTCATCTGATCTGAATCTTCCAGTTAATATAGTTCTAAATATTCTTAAACTGACAGGGTTGTAATTTGGGGTTGTAATTTGACTTAGTAAATCATACACATATAAATGTAAATGAATATCGTATGTTTATAAGTGGATATATTTTAAAACTAAGGACACCAAAGTGAAAATGCAATCCATAAAAATTCATCTAATCCTATGATCCAATTTCTCCACATTTATTAATTATACAGTGATGCAGGATAGGATTTTAGAGTAATTCTAAGCTTTTATTCTAAAGAGATTTGGGGGGTAACATACCACTTTGAAAGTCTGATGAGAATCTAAACAACTGCCTCAAATACTAAAGAGAATTTCTGGGCATTCCCTGAAATTTATAACCACTTTATAAAGCCTATAGATATCCAGACTAAAAACTCCTGGACTTGCATAACCGCTCTGAGGGCAGGTCCTTCAGACAGTGCTTGAAACCACTTTCTCTGAGCCGCATCCTGCAAGGTGTTGGCATCCTGCAAGTTTATGTGCATTCAAGACATATCTGGAATGAAGGTAGTTTCAGAGCTAAGTTAAATGCACAGCCACGATCTGCTGCGCAAAGGCAGGACTTGAAAACTAAGCAGATGTGAAATGAGCAAGTGCAGCCAAAGATGCCATAGAGGGCTGTTTGTCACAGGTGAGGGCCACATGAACCAGATACAGGCTCAAGATACAGCTTGGAACCAAATCCAGGCTGGCAGAGGCTTAATTGGGCTCATCTGAGTGTTGGTTCCAAAGAGAATGTCCCCTGTAGGCTCCAAGAGTTTGAACACTTAGCCCCAGCTGGTGGCGCTGTTTGAGGAAGTTTAGGAGGTGTGGCCTCACTTGAGAAAGCACATCCCTGGGTGGGCCTTGAGAGTTCATAGCCTTGCCCCATTCCAGTTTCACTCTCTGTGTTTCCTACAAGATGTACGTGCTCAGCTTTCTGCTCTGGTTGCCTCCTGCCATGTCTTCCCTGCCATAATGGACTCTTATCCCCCTAGAACTGTAAGCCCAGTAAACTCCTCACCTTTTTTTTTTTTTTTTTAAAGTGTATGAAAAAAGCCTGCATGTGTGTAAGTGTACCCATGTTGTGCAGTGCCTGTGGAGGACAGAAGAGGGTGTCAGATCCCCTGGAACTGAAGTTAACCACCATGTGGGTGCTAGGATTTGAACCCAGGTCTTCTGCAAGAACAAGCAGTGCTCTTAACCACTGAGCCATCTCTCCATCCCCTCCCCCATCTTTTTTAAATACAGGGTCTCCCTCTTTCCCCAGCTAGCCTGGAACTCACTATGTAGACCAGGCTGGCCTTGATTTCAGAGAGCTTTGCCTGCCTCTGCCTTCAGAGTGGTGGGATTAAAGATGTGTGCCACCACCACTTTTCCTTCTGTAAGTTGCCTTGTTCATGTTTTTTAATCATGGCAGCAGAAAAGTAATACAATCCCCGCCCCTTTTTTGTGAGGAAGAAAGAAAGGGTTAAGTTTGTTATATTGTTGTGATAATTACTAACATAGAAAAGACACAAAGTAGCAAAATGCAGACGTCAGTAAATAAATTGCTGTATCAACTATTGGCTGTTAATCACTGGGGATCTAACATGAAGTACGATTGTTTTTCTCCTTGAGAGATGGTAGTATCATACCAAAGCAGGAATTCTCAAATGTGAAGCCATTCAAACAAGACATCACTCTTATGTTTTTAAGACTGCATGAACCACTAGTTTTAAATTCTAGTTTCAATGTATTCTACTTTGTGTCTTATATAACAGCCATCTCAGTATTGCTGAGAACCAATGACATGGGAACCCTAGTGAGAACTTGGCTTCTTTTAGTCTGTTAATATAGGTAGTATGAATCCCAAAGATAGTATGTCTCACTTATTATGAGTATTTGCCTAATTCATTAGGGTAATGTTTTTAATTGTTCAAAAGATGCTATCCTATTTCAATATCAAGTAGTTTTTTTAATATCTAAGATAAAGCAGCTGCCTGTCTGATATTTTAGTTTCTTTTCCAACCTAGAGTAAGGAAATTGTTAAGTGATATTTAGCTCATAAGGGTTTGTTAATGTTTTTTGAGATTTTTTTTTTTTTTGAGATAAATGGCATCTGATTGTGCTGGAGAATTTTTTTATGATTTTTGTATTTTTTGATTTTATGATTTTTGTATATGGATAACTATACTTTTTTCTAAAATTCAGGTTGTTTATTTTCAGCTTGGATTTAAGATTCAGGATATTTTGACTATCACATACCTGCTTGGGTCATTAGATTGATTGCTCGGGAACTTAGAGACAAATTTATCCTCAGCAAACTGTGATGGGTCACATGCATTTGTTTTATAATGTTAATATGATCATCACGTCTTTATCTTATGTCTTTATTTGCCTTTTCTTTCATTTTCTTATTCTAAATTTTATATATCTCACTGTTTCTTTGTAAGTTACAAAGTCCAAAGATCATCTGTGGAAAAAAAAGTAGAAGAGATACAGAATCCCTCCTTACTGACAACTGAGTGTAACTGATGGTCCAGATAGAGAAAAAATTTGTAATGAGAGCCATTTAAAAAAGAATTAAGTTGTTTTTTGTTTGTTTTTTTAAGAAATATAAATGAGCCGGGTATGCTGGTGCATGCCGTTGGTGCTCACACCTCAGAGGCAGAGGCAGATGGATCCGTGAGTTCTAGGCCAGCCTGGTCCACATAGTGAGTTCCAGGCCAGCTGAAGCTGCAGGGAGACCCTGTCTCAAAAAGACCAAAAAGAAAGAAAGAGAGAGAGGGGGGGGAGGAAGGAAGGAAGGAAGGAAGGAAGGAAGGAAGGAAGGAAGGAAGGAAGGAAGGAAGGCCTTTTCTTTAAGCAGCTCCTGATGGTCTTTCTTTTACCACCCCAAATAAATTGTTTTCATTTTCTTAAAATGTGATGAGAATTTAGAAACACATGCAAAGAAATAGCTGTGCGGCCTAAAAAGTACGTTTTTAGTCACTTAGTAGTTTGACTTTGCTCCTTGCACTTACTGAGTCTTTCTCAAGTACCCTTCTACTCAAAATAGAAACAACATTTTGCATTCATATTTCAGTATTTCATATATATTTAAATTACATTATTATATAACCAGTTCAAGAAAATGTTAGAATAAATACTTGAAGGGTACAGTGGCTGGGTAAAATTGTTTTAAGTTATTTTTTAATGTTTGAAAAAATTTGTAAAATTTTATAAAAATAACTTTTACCGTAATTTATGGATATGACAGAAGACAGATTTACCAGAAAGAAAGCATGAAAAATAGGATGCTTTGTGTTATCTTTATGTGATGAGTACTCTCTGGTACAAATAAATGGAACAGTTATACCCAGTATCATGAACAAATATTAGGAATCTTAGGAGTGAAAACAGCAAGTTACAGAAGAAACCATTAATTGAATTTCTTTTAGAAAAACTATAATGGAAGCTAAGACACATTAAGCATTGAGAGCTCTGCCTAGACGTAGTTAAATTAGAAGAGAAGAGGCTGGAAAAGGCCATTTTAGACTGCTAGTTTCTTCCAGAAAGAAGAAGGCGTGTAACCATAGAGGGATGGTTCAGGTCTTCAAATAATGTTCTTAAGTTTGCATGTTGATCTGCATACATGTATTACTTACCTAAACTTCGCATATAACATGTATTCCTCCATATGTATCATTTTTTTCCCTTTCTAAAAATTGAATGTTTGTGAATTTCATACAATATATTTTGATCGTTTAGGTGTCCTCCTCTATCTGCACCACCCTTACTTCCCCTATTCTTTTATATATATATATATATATATATATATAGAGAGAGAGAGAGAGAGAGAGAGAGAGAGAGAGAGAGAGAGAGAATCGGGTTTGTGTCCTCAAATGCCCTAATGCCCTTCAGTGGGGGTTCTTCCACTAGAACCTGATCACCTTACCAAGAGTCTCACCCTTAAACGAGACTGAATCCCCCATCTTATCTACCATCAGTTGTCAATAGTTCCTCAGGTAGGATTGGGGTTTCTTATGTCCCCACAACTATGCTGGGATTTTGTCTGGCTTGAGCTTACATGGTACTTGTGCATGCTGTCACCATTGCTGTGAGGTCATATGAGTAATTGACCAGCTGTCTGGAAAACTCTTGTTTTCTTGTGGCCATCTACCACCTCTGGCTCTGGTCTTCCTGCCCCTCTTCCACAGTGATCCCTGAGCTTTGAAAGGTGTGTGTTTATCTTAATTAAAAAATAAACAGTAAAGCTTTAATCCCAGCACTTGGGAGACAGAGGAGATGGAGCTCTGTGAGATAGAGGCCAGCCTTGTCTACATAGCAAGTTTCAGGCCAGCTGGGGCTACAGGGAGACCCTGTCTCAAAAAAAACTAAACAGTAAAGGAAAAAAAAAATAAGTGAAAAGAATGAAAAGTAACAAAGACAAATACAGTTGAATATATACTTGACAGAAAAAAAAATCTTGGCTTAATAAATGGCGTACCTCAAGGATAGACTAAAAAATTTACCTGAAATGCCTGATTATTATAAATACAAGTATACTTTGTAAATATGTATGTATTTTAAATAGTGCCTACACATATGACCTAATTATACTTGTTATGCTTGTGATTACTTTGATAAAATTATAAAAATAATTAGCAAAAAATGAAATTTATAAAAGTAAATTTAAAAAAGTAAATTTCATTTAATGTTATCATTTTCATT